GACACTAAAATCGATTAAATAAGCCTTTGAAATTTTCGTAATTTCCAGGGTTTCAACCCTGAAACAATTCCAGAAACTTTGAGCGACACCCGGCCACGCCCACTTACACTCTCGTTGCCCACCCCGTCGGAGAGATCGTACCCCCATCAGCCAAATCCTGCCGCTACCGGTTCCGTTCAGAAATAAAATTAATTCACTTAGTTTTGTATTGATGCTCTTACTTCGTCATGAACGGAAGGAAACTGTTTGAAATAGCATATACCGTATACCACCAGTTGGCATTACTGCAAATTGCCTAGTAACAGTGAATTAGAGTGAGAAACGTTCCCACACAAGTAGGTTCCCACGATCAGGTGAAGCATGGGAGAAGCAGACACAAGGTCAGTCACATACAGTAGTCTTATTCTTTAAACGCCGCCAACTCAGGAATGTAGACGCGGTAGTGTCTGATCTGATTCTTTGAACGCTGCCTTCAGGAATGTAAACGCGCTGCTGCTCCCCAAGGAGGGAATAGCCGACTGCCTTGTTCAGCGATACCAACATGTGCCATGGTTTCAGTAGTTTAGCTGTATTTTAGCGAAGTGTTGCTTTTTTGTACGTTCATTTCTTACATGTCATTTTAATTTAGTCATTGATCATCATAATAAAATTATTAACTTTGTTGTTACTATGGCGTTTATGTTTGCTTTCTATTGGTGTTATAACAGTTGTTAAACCTTTTTTTTTCATGATTCAAAGACGTGCACACTCATTCTGTATAAATGAGTATAATATGGGCCTATCCACTGCAAGACTCTTAATTAAAAATCAACGTAACCATGGGGACGTGTACTTCTACTGTTATTTTCTCAATGAATAGGGCGTTTACAGTCAAAAGCCCCTGATTGTTTAGCAAAGTATTTTGTGTTTAATTATGTTTCTAAGGTTGAAAAAGTCTTTGTCAAAAATGGCGCAGTTTAGATGCCGGTTGGAAATTTGAGAGCCGGACAGGGATGACCGGCGAGGTGAGAAACCCTGTGATAATTATGAATATTTTATTAACATTTTAGCAAAATATTATGTTACAAAAAGATGTAAAAGAGGTTGCCCGTCGGGACGCACCCTATTTATTTCTGGTTGCCCGACGCAGATGTTTGGTTGCCCTGGGACGTCGGGCAGGCGATTCTGTGAGCCCTGATTAATTTGTTAGCCTTGACAATTGTTCGTGAATCAGTAAAATTTTAGACATACCTCTTTAAATGCTCCATAAATGATTACATTTATAATGCACGGGATTTTCTTAGGTGACAGCTACCGGAGCTAGCCCAGCATACTGGCACCAAGATACCTCTGTGTATACGGTAGAGATGGCAACGCCATTTCATCATCTGGAGAGCGCATCTTCCTTCACTTGGCGAAGGATTAACTAATTTTAATATATATATATAATGTACTTAATGAAAGTGATTCATTGTAGAATGCTGCGAATATATATAAGTGTGTGTGTGTGTGTGTGTGGGTGCGTGTATATATAAAAGCGAGAGGTCGCAGGTTCGAGTCCCGCCAGAGGCAGTTTATTACACAATTTCTGTATTCGTTTATTTACAGGACTACATTCGTTGAGAGTCTTGGTACACGATGTATTATTATGTCCTTTATTCGAACATTGTATTTACCTTTCTTTAATGATTTATATATATAATTTAACAGTGTTAAACGGC